ATACACGGTAGACTAGTTTTATATATAGTGTTATATATATATATAATGTGATTAGTACTAACAATACCGGTACTTTAAGACAACAATTGACAAACAGCAAACAGGATGTGAATTAACACTATCTAAACTGAAACTGTATGAACAGAACCGACGTGGAAAATCCCCTTTTGTTTCTAGTATCGTTTCAAGTAAATGACTCATAATATATATGATAAGTTTGAAGCGATGGTTAAATTTCAGATGGAATCTATACAGTATTGTATGTAGACCTATAATATTTTTAATAGTAACGCGCTTCAACCAGCCAGCTTCATTATACAGGGTAGAGCTGTCTAGAATCGAACTCCAATCAGAGCAAATTTTACAGGTCATGTGATCGACGCGAGCCACCAGCAGGTCGGGTGTTTTTGTCTTTGTAGTGGTTGGCTGAATTGTACTACGATACCACACATTGGTCGTGGAATTTGTGTGGGAAAATGACAGGGTAGACAGTGCTCAATTGAATTGATAAGTTGTACAGTGAACAAGAAACAGTAAAGGATACCATAATGTCCGAGGAACTTCGGCTTCACAGCCCGGCAGGTGCAGAACCTGCCATTTACAAGTGGCCGCTACAGCACACGGTAGGTAGAGAGTATTCAGAACGGGTCGCGCCACATCGCTGTTTCATGCCAGCAGTGCACGAATACTTGCGGGCTGCCAAAAGGCAAAAGGGCTAGCTTAGCGCTCTGTTTATTCTTTTAATGTCATTTGACAATGTGCGAATATGTCTGATTGTAGTAAGTTACCCATCCATTAACTCATGATTTTATTTGTTATTGTTGACAGGATAAAATAGACGGGGCTCATGAGATTGTCGACACGATAAGGTGAGTGATGGAATTTTGTCATTCTGCCTTGACCTTGAACGGCCATGTCCCTTTAAATCATAGGCTATAATTTCCTTTCGTGTCTACCACGGCCGGTGTTACAGAAAAGTTCCCGAGAGCAGGCCTAGACCAGATGCCTAGCTCCCGGATTGCCCTATTACTTTGTTTGATCTTTTAAATAGGCCTAAGTAGGCTAGGCCTAGCTCTTGCTGTCTGTTCAGTGTTACTGGTCACTAATAATAGTATTGCCTATGCCCATGAATTAGGGCCTAATGTCTTATTTATATTTAATAAAAATAAGGGATGGCACATATTGGCTTATAATTTATATTGTTCCCACGACCGTACGTATTTCTGAGTGTGTTGATTTGTGGAAATTTAAGGGGACAAGAAGTGTTACTGGGGAAATACCATGGATAAAAAAGGGGTCTCACTAAAAAGGAAGCTGCATACCACCGTAAATGTTCAGAAAATGGGTTGACACTGTTTATCTAATTGGATTTCTTACTGGAAAAATAATGTTAACGACTACCGTAACCATGTTGGTCACAGAAAAATTACCACTTGTTGGTAGATGTTGTTTGTTCACCTTGGTTTTGCAAGTTACAGTCCAGTCTCGCATCCCTCATATGGTCTGGGAATCCTCCTTGAATACATACCGGCATAGGTGTTGGCCAAACCAGTTGGCTTTCTTCTGGTTCTGGTGGGTACAGCCGACCTCCTAAGGACTCCAAGAGTGTAGGAGTATAACAGGAGGGGTAGAAATAGCATTGATTGATAGGAAAGGTCCACTAACGCAGTTTAAGACGTGCAGCGTCAGTCATGAGCATGCATGCCTTACTGCATCAGGCCGCATTGGACCTGATAGGTAGGAAACTCAGTCACACAAGCATCGGCTTTGCGAAAGAAACCACATTTGGTAGTGAAATCTCGGAGCTTTTACAGGTTACTGTTACGTAGCCATCTTCCTCAGAAGACACAACGGATCTCGTCATTGACGGGATCCGTTGACAGAATCACTGCTGCTGGCGTTCACTTGTGGTTGAAATGGTCCTGGCACTATATTCAACCATGGAGGAAGCTTCCACCTAATTATCTCTCAGTTTATTCAGATGCATAATACATACATTTTTCATTACCGGTACCTCATTGGCAGTTTCAAAGGAGGGAGGGGGAAGCTGGCTTGAGCCCCCTAAATTTTTCAAAATAATAAAAAGTAATGGAGAAAAAAAAAATCATATTTAAATTTATATCCGAGTGTACTATTTCCTGCCAGAGAGGTGCCATAATCATAAATTTTCTTAACTCTGCCCAAACCATAGTGGGCTGAGTTGGTATAGGCTTCTCATCCTATTTCAAATTCCTGAATCCACCAGTGGTCCTTCTTTCATTAACAGATTGTTCGTCTCTTGATTACATTGTGTTAGTGTTAACGATATTATAGTAACCAGGAAGAATGTATACTGTACTGTACAGTTAATACTATTGCTTAAAGCCTAGCGCATTTCAACAACTCGGCAAATGGCCTCTAGTGATAATGTGCTCAATTTTTATGTCCAGCAAAATAGTATTGCACAGTGGCGGATCCAGGGGGGTTCAAGGGGTTCGGATGAACCCCCCTCTGTGAAGAAATGTAACAAAATACAAGGGTCCTGGCTTACAAAAAGCATGCTAATCTACCTAGGCATAGGTTGGAAGATCAGACAAACTAGGCTTAGCCCAACTAGTTTTCAATTAAATAAATTATACACCCTTTTTTTTTTTTTTTTTTTTTTTTTTTTTTGGTTGCTTTTAACATACATATAACAACATAATATAGTATAATGCAATATTACAATAAAAAAAATCTCATCTTCTAGTAAAAAAGAAAAAAAAATTAGCATTACAAAATCCAAAACCAATATAATATACTGTACTGTAATATAAAATAAATACATTGCTTTTGGTTTGCTGTCGTAATAATTTATGTACGAATCAATCCATGGAAGAAAGACTACATATCGAACTACTCAATGTTGTAGGAATATAACAATATATTGCCTGTCTTTGATTTTTTTCCTCTATGATAAGCCTAAAAAATGAAATAGAATTACCTGACCTTTTTTCAAGCGGGGGAAAACCTTGAATTTTGAAGAACTTAAAGGTCATTAAAAGACTCCTCAGAAGTCGGAAAAGCTCATTTCCGGCCATCTAGGAATCAAAATTTTCCGGGGGAGGACCGGGACCCCCTTGACCCCCTTTTCATTTTGGGATTTTTTGGAAACATTTTGAAACCCCCTCTTTTAAATCCTGGATCCGCCCTTGTTGCATTTGATGTTGCCTAGTATGTAATGATCAACGCCACCATAGTAAGCATTTTTCTCATTGTATGTGGGCAGTGGCACTGTCAGGCAAATAATGCTAAAATGCTTGCTGAGCAAACTGATGTTATGGCTCTTAGGGACATTTTAGGTTCAAAATGCAATGCACTTAAATCATTTTTTATATTAATGAGATTCATTATTAATTAAATTTCTCTTTTTATTGTTATTTTCACTTTAGATGGGTATGTGAAGAGATTCCAGAACTTAAGCTTGCAATACAGCGCAACCAGGTCCTGAGTGACTATGACACCAAGAGGTAAGATCATTTCATTTTTCTTCATAAACACAAATACTAGAAAACATGAATGTGAAATATAGATTCTATGAAAAGTTTCATTAAATAGAGATAACTGCCACCTAATTCAAATATACACTGGCTGACATTCAGGCATCCCAAGTTGGTAGAATGCACATCCAAGAGATCTTTTTAAATGATAAGCTTTCTTAACGCATCAAATTATATTTGCTGCGGATGGTGGTACCCATTGGCACTGACTTCCAGGAGACAATTGATAATACATTAGAAAAAAACAAGAGATGTGTTATTTTCCCGGAGATTCTTGCTTGAGTGAGTGTGATAAGTCTTCCTGATTTCTGGGAGACTCCTGCGACTTGCGAGTATCCACAATCGTAAATTATTTATGGCCGATTTGAAGTTTAAGTAAATTAAGAAAACATTAACTACAGTTATTTTTAGACAAAAATCCAAATGTACTGTACTATATTTTGGTAAAGCTGATTCTAAAAGTAATTGCTATTATTATTGAGATGAAATGCACTGATAATCAGTAGAGTATTAAAAGGCCCTATAAATATACTTTAAACTTAGATGTTGAACGTATGCCAAAAGTTGCTGTGAGATACTCAGAATAAACATGCTTTCCTTTCTTAACGGTCCTAGGATATAGTAGTAATTTGTAAATACAATGTAATGAAGTAAATGAAACCTCGTTATAGACAGCCTGATTACAGCAACATCTTTACCTGTTGATGTAATAAAATAAATCCTATTTACAGTACCTGTAAATCAATCAGATGATAATTTGAGTTGGTATATGATTGAGCTTAATGTGTATCGTTATTGGTATAAAACTTGAAAAATAAAAGTAATAATTGAAATGTTCACTACCTATAATAAGTAAGCTATTAGTTTTCAATAAAAAAATAAAATCAAAGACAAGGGACTACCAAGGTTCCTTACTTGACATTTACAAGTGCACTATTAAGTGAACTGTACCTATGTGTAAGAATGTCATGACTCCAGTTACAGTAGGATCTAAAGTGTATTGATGAGTACTGGTTATAATGTCCCTCGTTTATAATAACTCGTCCTCTGGTAACATGTCTTTATTGGATGTTTATTTTCATAATGTAATTTTATCCTAATATTGGGTTGATGTACATGATGTTGACAAAATTAAGCAATATTTATATAAATGATAAGATAGTTAACTTTATTATTTCACTAAGGGTAATAATGTCCCCCCCCCCTTTCCAAATTTTTCAAAATTATTTAAAAAAAATATACGGTACATAAAAGTATGCCATTTCCAGCCAGAGCAGTGCCATAATCAAATTTTTTTACCACAAGCCAATACAGCCATAGTGGAGCTGAGGTAGGTGGGCCTTCTGTGAAAGTCCCTTTACTGGGTAACTCTTAATAATATTGGAACCCAGTACGACTCTATATATTTATCCCTTACATTCTCTTTCATTATGTACCATGTTTCATTGCCAGTTTACTGCACCCACTGGCCACTGCCCATTGTGACTTGAATTGTTTATTTTTGTTTTCTGTTCATGCACGTATGGATTTAACTATTCAATTTCTATGAACTGATGTGTGTGAAGCTACAGAATTGTTGTATTTGGTTAGCTTGCATTGTAAATGTGATGTGAAGTGGAAATGTATGTGAAAACATTAACATGCCTCTACCATTTTTCTCAGAGGGTTTATTGCCAAAAGTCAATTTTATTCTTAGTTAGAATGGATATTAAATTACAAATATTGAAATTTAATCATATTATGTTAATGTTATTTTACAAGTTCAGTTTAAGAAATTGATTGAAATATTGATCTTATTCTTTTTGTTATTACTGTATTAATTTAAGGTATGTGCTACTTTACCCAGGATGTTGAAATTTTAATGTGCATTAAAAGCTTACTGTGCACCTACAACATTTTTTTTTATAAAGCATTGAAGCAGTCATAGGATTATAGAGAATTATATAAAATCTACTATGTAGGCTATCAAATCAAATAGTATAAAGGGAATTGAGAATGGCTATGTGGAGGTAGTCGTTGAGGATACAGTGGTGTCTTACATGAGTGAGTGAGTGGGTGGGTTACTTAAATAATGATTATGAACCATAATTCTATTGAAACTATGTGTTAATAGACTTCATTCTCTAGAGAACATTAAAGTCTCAAATTCTCATTCTCTGTCGTGACGTGAATGTAGAACCGGTACTCAAATTTGATGGGGAATTAATTGCTGAATTTATTAACATTCAGTACATTATTGTTAATAATCATCTTACATATCTTAACTGAGTGCTACATAGACCTTTGCCTCCTCATAAAGAAAATTTCTTACCATTGTTATTTCTGTATTGTTTTATTTGTGTTTGCATATATTGCCAGAAAGAAAAACAAATTTTAATTTCGCATTCATCTTTCCACCTATTTAAAATTTAAACATACATATCTACCAGTACCAGGTTGTGGCATAGTGTTAGGCATGTGTCAATCATAGGCTTAGCCAGCGAGCCGTCCGGCCGTCTTTTGGATGGCCTACAATTATTTAGGACGGCCACTTTTCCCGTGACAGCTTGGACGGCTTGGCCTAATAAACCTAATTGGGCCTGGTCTACCTTTAGCTAATTCTTTATATTCTTCAAATCTATCAAATATTATACAGTATTACATTAAACTAAAGCTAAATCAAATTTAAGTTTGATAAAAACAACATTTATTGATTGATTGAATCTACATTGTTTTCGTACCAATATTCGGTGGTGGTTCCCAAAGATGGGCGTGGCCCGCCTATCGGCTCAGTGCCATGCCCACTGGTTTCCATTTTGGACGTCCTATTTCCTTTTTCTGGCTAAACCCCTGGTGTCAATCAAACCCAAGAAACTGACCAATTAAAAAATGTGTAACTAAACAGGTGGGACCAAAGAATATGCGCATATTCCACAACATTGTATTCTAGGGGTGCAGCCTAGGGGGAGAGTGCCATTGTGCTACTGTAAGTAAATAACTCTAAGCTATCAAAATGGGAAAGATTTCAACATGGTACTCTACTTTCACTTTCAAGAGACAGGGAATAGAGCACCACATTTCTATTCCATGTATTTGAAGATGAAAATATTGTTCATATTACCTCAGTGATGTTGCCATGTCTTATCTTACTTAATATCAAAATATTGTCAAAATAACACTGTATTTCCCACAAGTAGAATAACTGGATTAAATAAATATTTCAAAATACATACATATCTTAGTTGTTTAAAGGTGTTTTAATGAATTTATTATAATTATTATATTTATAGGGAAAAAATCAATCTCTACAACCATTATTAACTTGCTCATTAAATTTGGTAGGTCTTTTTTCTCCTGATTCATGAGAGTTGATTAATATGTGAAGTTACTCTCTTACTTGGAAATTACAATTCTACAGACAATAAATGTGACTCGCAAGTTGGTAGACAAATATTTTATACTTTAACCAAAATTGTTAGTACGAAACATGTTAGTGTGTTGATAGCTTATAATTTAATGTTGTACTGTGTGAAGATATGCATAATGCAGACGCTACTAATAGTTTGATAGTAGAGCTTTGTAAAATGAAAACAGTTAAATTACAGTACACACATACTGTACATTTTATACTGCATGCATGAGTAAACACAAAAGCTAGCCAGACTGTTCGTTAGTTTAGTCTATACAGGTAGTACTATTATATTTAGCTGGGTACTATACAGTAGGTGTATAGTATGTCTGTATGCTATGCATGTCTTTGTGGTTACCAAGCAAGAGTAATGGAATTTTGTCACTTTTGCTTTGTAACACATCAGGCTCCCAGCATGAGCGTCTATCTACAGTACTGCTTGCTATAAAATAAATTTTAATCTACGGTTGTTAGTTAAAGGTCTTTCCTTCAAAGTGGTATATTCCTGTTGGAACTCTGAATTTATCCTGAAATATATAATAGTCAAAAGGTCCACTGATTAATCTCAGATAAGATAGTATAATACATACTCCAAGTATCGAAATGCACGCCATCGTGTCGGGATTCAATATTTCGACATTATGTCATCATCAGGAATGGTGACATAATTAATGTCGAAATACTAAATCCCAACACAATGGCGTGCATTTCGTTACTTGGAGTATGTATTATACTATCATATATAATAGAATACCCATAAATTGTTATCACCTGGAACTGGCCTTACTAGAATGGCTCATGTGAGTGGTGTTTCGAGTACGACTACTGCACACCTTCGTTCAGGAGTCGGCACATAAATTGTGTCATAGGATGCATAGTGTCTACTGCCTCACATAAAGGGAGGCCAAATGTTTAACATATAGGGCCTGTTTCTACTGGAAATAAATAATGGATTAAAAATCGCTTTTTCGAAAAATTGCTTTTATTCTCACAGTAGAAACGAGACCAGTTTGAAAAAAGCAATTAAAAAAATCGATTAAAAACATGCAATGGATAGCGTGTTTGAATGGAAAATAACCAATTTTGGCTGTGCACCTTTCAGCTGCAACACAAAAACGTGATTATCAGGTGAAATGTGACCTCCAGGTCAATCATTGCAAAGACTATATTGTAATAGGCGCGAACTTTAAAAGAAAAATTGTCCTCTTGTTCATATCCTAGGCGGCCTACAAGCTAAAAACGCCAACAAACATGAGGAGTTACGAATTCGTTTTGTAATTATTTTGTGGGGTGGGGGGGATATTGGGCCTAGGACTCTCCGCTCTCGCCCCACATCGTATCTTACTCCTCGTCATCATGACAGGAATGAGAAAGATACTATCCTATACAGTTAGGAAAACAACATGTGGTATAAACAAAATGGTGACGTAATTTCCGTCACGAAAACCGATTTTCGAAAAATAAAAAATGCAGTTGCCACGCCAGCAGGCTGTCTGGTACTCATTAAAAAAACGGTTTTAAAAAATCGATTATTTTGTGTTTATCAGTAGAAACACACCCATAGTACTGCTGTATACTCTAC